AGAGGTGGTGCTGAGGGCCAGGGTTTGGGGGTGGGATGGCAGGGGTAGGGGAACGGCTGGGCTGGGGGAGCTGAAAGGGCTTTGCCAACCCAAATGGTTCTACGATTCTGTGATTCTGACGAGCACCCGCCCGAGGGGAGGACGGAGCAGGGATGGCTGCCCACACCAGGAACAGCAGCAGCCAAGGCAGAGTCCAGGGAAGCTGGAGGAAGGAGAAGGTGTTTCACCAGATGTTTGCTCCTAGCCCATCATCTGGTTGCAGGAACCTGGGAAGCCCCTCGGGTGTCCTCACCACACGGAAGCACAGAGCGGTGGGCAGCCACAGCAGATCCCGGCAGAGGGATGAGCCTCAGTCAGTCTGTATTTAGCATGGCTGGGACCGATCCTGTCCTGCTCGGGGACCTGGTTTAGCTGGTGATGATCTGGGGGGCCAAAAATTCCACCCCCCTCCAAGGCAGGTTGCTGCCACCTGAAGGACCTCTCCCCGCCAGCAGCTCTTTTCAACAAAAACCCGCAGGACGGGTGCATTAGCAGGAACAGCTTTTTGTCACAGGTGAACTCTCCTGTAAATACCGCTGTCGAAGCCATGCGCACCGGGTGTTTCACCTCGGGACAAAACCGCTTTTGAGTCAAACACAGGCAGGATTCAGCAGCCCGTGCAACCAGGCCTGGCCAAGACACCCATCCTGCAAGATCTCCAAGAGCCAGAGCAAAAGTTCCCAGGGAAGATGCGGGGTCAGCTCTGCAGCATCCCACCCGCTCACTTCTTCCAGCAGCAATGGGGTTGGCGTCACCCCGGGCTGCTGGGTCCAGGGGTTGGGCTTGACCTTGCTGTAGCTACAGCTCGGCCGCCTCAAACCGAGATGAACTGGAGCCCCCTGCCAGGGAAGCAAAGGGGACAGGGACCAGCAAACGCTGGTCTGAAGGCCCCCCCCAGACCTGCAGAACGAGTGACAACTTCCTCCACTACAGGACCGTTTTATTACAAAAAGATTTGTTAACAACAAACTCTGTCAATTATAAAACACAGAGAGGAGCGGTACGCGCGGCACAGCCTGGAGGGTCGGGAAACTTCAGGGAACGGAACAAACCCCACGTTAACCTCAGCTGGATGCAGAGAAGCCAACGGGTCCTGAGCCACACAGCTACTTCCAGCAGAGCTGTTCTGCACGTGCTGGCTCTGCCCATGGATGTTCCCAAATACTCACAGCCAGATCTCCGGAGCAAGAGACCCCCTTGTTCCCCGCGTGGCAGTTACACCAGCTCTTCTGCAGAAAGGAGCGCCCCGAGAGAGGTATCTCCGAGCCAGGAACAGGAGCAGCAGTCCCCTGGGGAATGCCAGCGCCTCTCGAAGGGTTGCTGTAGGTTGGGCATCGTCTTGCTCAGCCATCAAGCGAGAGGAGCGTTAACTTGGATTCCTCTTCTCTGGCACTAGCCCTTTTGCCCACACCTTCCTTGCTCCGAGTCCTGGCAGCCTAGATTCAAGCTAACGTGGGCATCTGTCCCGCTCCCATCATCCCGCCGTGGTCCCTAAAAGCTATCTGTGAAGTGTTCCTCAACGGAGGAAGAGCCATTAGTCCGAGAGAGGAGAGCAGGGCTCCTTGGATCTGCCCCTCTCCTTTAGGCATGGTAGGATTCCTGGGCTCCTGACAAAGCGTTGGTGAGCAGCACGTCCCAACACGGTGCCTCTACCTGAGAGCAATTGGGATGGGTGGTGTTGGCAGAGGCAGAGCCCGCGCCCAAGGCTGCCGGACGGACCTCCTCAGTCGGAATCACTTCCCTCCTGCTTTGCCGACCCCACAGCAGACGCCAGCTCCTCCTCCTGCCCTTTCAACCGCTCTCCTGCAAGCGAGAAACAGCAGGGGCTTAGAGATACCGGGGAACCCAAACGGCGGCGGACCCAAACTGCAGCCCCCGAACCCACACACCATCCCTCCCTGCCACACAAGCCAAGCGGGCGTGCGGCCTGGGGGAAGCTGCTTGGTATGGACAGCTTCACAGACCCTTTCGGGAAGAGGATCAAGCTCCACCAGTCCCTCCCTGGCCCAACAGCAAGGCACCAAGCTCCCAGTAAGGATGGTGTCATCCCTCTGGAACAACCGGTGACCCCATACGCCATCCCTGTGGCACCGTAACGCACGGATCAACTCGGCGATGGCTCTCTGCGTCCTCTTCTCCAGCTTCTCCAGTTTCTTGGCTACATCTCGCTTCAAATCCCTGGGGAGGAGAGTGACAGCGTCGGCACAAACCCTTGCCCCAGGCAGATGTGAACACGGGGGCCATGTTACACCTTTCCCAGGGGAAAAGAAATTCCTTCTCTCCCCTGTGAGCACCACGGAGCAGAGTGTGCGTCTGCCTCCAAGGCAGCTCATGGACAAACCAGCCCGATGTCCAGAGCATCCCTTGCCACTGAGGCCACCATGGTGACAAGCACCCCAAAGGGATCAGCGGAGTCACTCGGTGTAAGCAGGAGGAGGGAGGACAGCCCCGCACCTTGTGCCTCCCTTAACAGTAGGGCAGGGTTGCCCATTTCTAGCACTTTTAACCCAACCTGGACAACCTCGAGGTGACGGTAACCCACCGCTGACGCCGACACCCCTTTCCCAGAAGCAGGGCTCTGCAGGCACTCACCAGTCTGGCTTTCTGGGGGCCAGGTTTGCCAGATCCTAGGGAGGAAGAGGAGACACCCAGTGAGAGCTGCAGGCGAGGTTCAAGCCCGGACGCAGATAAGACGCACCCGGCGCAGAGCGGCTCTGAACATACGTACCACCTCGTCGATGATGGGCTCCGGCTTGGCGGCCTCCAGCTGGTCCTTCACCTTGTCTTCCACTAGATGGGGGAACAGGACCGGCATCAGCGCAAGGCACAGTGGCGGGACACGAGGGGACAAGGCACAGGGAAACCCACCAGAGCTCTGGGCGTGGTTCCCAAAAGCTTTTAGAGAAGCCCATTCAAAGGTCTTTGCCTTAAGAGCGGGGTAAATACGAGCGAGTACGCATGGGTGCACACCTTCCCCCGCCACCCAAACCCTGTCGGAGACTCCTAAAACTCATCTGAAAATGATGCAAACCCCAACCAACCATTTAGCACCACAAACAGCAACGGCAAGCAAGAAGCCTGCTGGGTTCCAGTCCCCTTTTCGTAAGGCCTGCAGGGATCAGCTGCTCCGCAGGTGTTTAAACTGGAATTTGACTCACCGTGACTCATTTACAAGGCCACCGCCTGAGACATCTTGGAGGAATCAAGCTCCAGCCCAGACCTTACGTAAAGGTCTGCAGATCTTGGGGATAATGGCAAAGCACGGAGGGAAGACAGCCCTCCATCCTTCAACTCGGGCGGCTGCGCTGGGAGGGGGTGCGGGCACCGGGGAGCTCATCCCCGAGGGATGAATCCTGCTCCAGCAAAGGGCTATGGCCAAGGTACCACGAACCCACACCGAGCCCCAGCTCCTCTGTCCTCCTCCATCCCCAACCTCTACACAAAGTGCCCCAGGACCCCCTGGCTGGTTACTCCAGAGACGGGAAGCGCAGCCGATGAGCGTGGCAGCTCCAAAGAAGGGCTGGCAGAGAGCGTGGAGTTTTACTGGAAATGGTCAAAAATTGCCATTCCCAATTCCAAACCCCACGCCCAGGGAAGAGTCAGGGGAACTTTTAAACTTTTACCAAAGGACAAAGAAAGCGCAGCATCAGCACTCCTACCTACCCGATCTCCGCCGTGCTCCCAAAGGCAGCCGTTTTATTTAGGGCATTTTTAAAGAGATCTATTCCAGGAGGACTCAATATTTCAAGATCAAGAGAACTTCTACCCTTCGCCTCCCTCTCAAGAGCTGCACGGGGGTTCGGTGCTAAGAAACAGCAGACTGAACGCCCTGGACTCATGACTAATATTTGTTTGAAGGTAATTCAAACAAAACCCAGCCTGAATCTCCTTGAGAATCCTCCAGCGAGAGCTCAGCTCCTCTGCGTATCAACCCTCCGGTTCGGGGCTGGACTCGGTGTGCTCAGACACACACCCCTCGCTTGTGCAATGCAGGGTGTGCATGTCCCCATGGGCCGGAGGGGATGATGAAGCAACGGGGCCTGCAAGCCTCCCGCTTGCCCAGCTCCCACCACGGCTGCTCAGACACACCAGCACCCTCCAGGGCTGCAGACACCCATCTCCCAGGACCCTCACACCAGCAAGCTGCTACCAGAATAACGTCCCCATGGCTTTTCCACCTCAGGCTGGAGCGAGCAGGGACACAGAGGTTTCCAAGCCACTTGATTTTTGGAAAGA